AACATGGTGCTTCCCAGGGTGCCACATTCCCTGCCCAGGCATGGAACGGCATTCTGGAACCTGGAGCCAGTGGGGCTGGCTTTCCCTGAGGCAGCAACAAAATCTACGAGACAGTGGAGGCTGTTCAGTACCACAGACACAGAGACGCTGAAGGATCTTATACATTCGGCAAAATAACAACATGACCACTGAAGCAGCTTGGGCTTTACGGTCTCTCCCCCTGAACCTGCTGTGCTCATTGGTCAGGGAAACAAAACCAATGGCAGAAACATTAACTGCCCACCCTTCTTTCGAGTTAGAGATTTCCCAAGCCACAAATGCTTTCCCACAGTGTCAAAGGAGACTTCCCACCTGCCAGCTACTACTCTTCAGATTGAGTTTCTCTATTATTTGATTGATTGATTGATTGGTATTTTTTGAGACAGGGTCTTGCTATGTAGTTCAGGCTGGCCTTGAACTCACTATGTAACCCAGGCTGGCCCTGAACCCACTGCAATCCTCCTGCTTCAGCCTCCCGAGTGTTAGGATTATAAGCATGCACCACCGAGTGAGTTTCTCAATTATATATCAACATTGCAGAAGTCTAGTTTAAACTGTATCTAATAAATGACAACCAATGGCCTTATGAAAACCAACTCTATCTACTGGGCAATTTTGGTTTGGCACACAGTAACTAAGAGCTGCTGCCATCATAGACTGCCTCCTACATCCAGGAGCAGCGGGCAGAACCACAACTGTCCCCAAGCCCAAGGCGGTGGGAAAGCACAGTGGGGTCTGACCACTCCACCCAACTGCTCAGATGGGCTCCTTTGCTTGAAGTTCAGGGACAAAACCCCCTTTGGAACAAGAGCTGTTGCGCTAAGAACTCTATCACCACACTCACGTTTGTTTTCTTTGTACTCGATGAAACACAGAGTGCAAAAGCCTTTGTTTTCCGGCGTCCCAAAATACATGCAGCCAGCTTTCCTGCACTTGCTTGTCCCAGTCCTGTCCCCTGGAGTCCGTGCGGCCTGAGAGAGGCAGCCAGAGGGGGCGTCATTTCCAGCTCTGTGACAAGAATGCGGGGAGAGACTCTGCATGAGCTGCGAGGGGTCAGACTTGGACCTCTGGTGACAGGAAGAAGGGACACTGGAGCCGAGGCTGGAGGAAGACTCTGTCGTAGTCCTTTTGAAGCAAGTACTGCAGATCCCATTAAATGTCCTAGTGACGTCCTGGAGGCAGGCCTGGCACTTACCAGGATCTAAATGTCTGGTGGCATCTGCAGTCTGGCTGGCATTCAATTGCCGGGCATTGTGACATCGCTCACAAAACCCATTGTGCTGCACATTCAGTGTGAAGGGGCAGCCAGGGCTCCTGCACTTCATGGCCGTGGTCTCGCTGAACAGGAAGAGGCTGGGGGCTGTAGGTGGGGCCGAGTGAGGTCCACCCACTGGCTCCTCAGGGCACCAGGCTGAGGGCTTGTAGGCCTCTCCCCGAGACCCCCCAAGCGCCATGCCAGGGAGGCCCTCGGGGCCGGGCTTGGAGTTCAGCTTTGGGAGTTTGCTTTGGTTCTTTTGGCGCCTCGCCGAGCACTCGTGGCATAAAGGCTTGGTGTTCACGGACATGAAAAATGGACAGTTGGGTGTTTCACATTTTACATCCATGAGGGAGAGCTGGGGTGTGGTGGGCTCCAGGGGGTTCTGTGAATGCACCCCTCTCCTCCCCTGCTCGCTGTTTTCTTGCCATTTCTTGTACTCATGCTGAACAAGTTCAAAGTAGTCATCTACCAGATTTATTTCTTTGGGTAAGTTAGCTTCATCCAACCTAAAGACCCAAATGGGAAAAGATGAGACTACACAAAATGGCACTCAATGCTTTACAGCATCAGCTCCTAAGGGTTTTCAGAATGTGGATTCACTGCCATCCCCGAACTGCAGGTCTGTGACAGTACATGGTTCAAGATGTTTCCCAACATGTCCTCCAGTAGAGCATGAAGTCATTTAGTCTAAGACTCATTATTTTTCTAAAATCAGAGTCTCAATTATCATCTTTGTGTGTCTACACAAAACTACAGATGGGCTGGGGATTTAGCTCAGTGGTTCTGGCGCCTGCCTCGCAAGCTGAGGACCCGAGTTCGATCCCTGGTACCAAAAAAAACCCCCAAAACTACAGATAATTCTAAAATAAAAAAAGGTCCTTGGGGCTGGTGGTGTAGCTCAGTGGTAGAGCACTAGTGTAGCACGTAAGAGACCCGAGGTTCCATGCCTGGCATCACAAAGATAACAAACCAAACCAAAAAAAGCCAACATGAAACCTAGCAAGGGGTCCTTTGTGAAGAGCTCTTTCTCCTGTTTATCTGTTGCTTTTTTAAAAAGTCATTTTCACCATGTAACTTCTCAGCGATCAAATTTCTAGTAAAACATTACTCAGATTATTCACGTGGGTCTGGTCCATTTTATGGTGCAACCACTTTTGGGACACTTTTTTCTGCATTTTGCTGTTCTTAATTTTAAACTTGTGTCTGATCTCCACTAAAAGAAAGTTCTCTGCAGTGTAATGAAGAGGCAGACACACCTGCAGACATTGTTTACTGTTGACTCGAGCTGGCTAATCTCCACTTCGAGAGAGAAACTGATTCTTCTGTGCCCTCGCTGTATCTCAAGCATTCTAAATTCTCAGAAGCAGCCGCCTCTTTAACCTAAAGGCAGGGTTTGGATCTTGGACACAGGCACAATGGGGACTCTGCGGGTGTCCCTCTGCTTCTCCATGTGGCTGTCACATAAACACAATCTGCAACCCAGTGTATGTCTGTCCTTACCAAGAAGCCAAGAGGAAAAGGCTTTTTGCTTCCAATAGTCTTCAGTAGCTCTTATTTTTAATATGCACTAGAATCTAGACACATGTAGACACATACTTTTAAAACCCACAGTTTTGACTCTCAGCATCTAGATGCCCTGGAAAATCACAATGGAACATTACTTATTTTCCATTTGAAACCAAAGCTGGTGATGCCTTGAGTGATCCTCTCTGCCTCTTTAAATTTGCTTCATATTGGAGGAAGCTGGTTACAGATAATTTTGCTGTGGAGCATTGGAGTGGCAGCTGCCTCTGTGGCTAATGTAAAGAAAGTTACAGACGACAGCACGATCAAGCGCTTACTTTGCAGCATTAATCAGATGAGTGGTGCCATGGTCCCAGCCCTGGACTGGAATTTCTATCACCATCAAGTACTCCTTTAAGAGCTTTTCCTTCATCTCATTTTCAAGATCTGTCAAAAAGTGAATTTTTAGGTCTTCAAATCTCCCTCGGTCTCTGTTAACAAGCGGCACAGCTCGGATTTCTGAGGGGAAAAAAATAGCATATAAGTAAAATGTTACTCTGGAGAGGAGGTTGAATATAAAGCTATGTGTATGTATATAGTGGTCACATTTCGAACATGCAGAAAGCATATGATTAAAAGAGTAGAAAAGCATCATCTGGTCACAGTTAAATTCACATGGGAAAACAAAGTGCACTGAACTCTAATACATGCATTGCTTCCAGGAGGCTCACAGAATATTAACTAGCCAGCAGGCAGCGGGTCTTACTGGTTAAACTCCCATGTTCCAAAGTCAGGTGGGCTTGAGTTCAAATCCTGACTGTTTCGCTATCAAGTTATGTGACAGCAGACAGCTTATTTAACCTCTTCGAGGTACAAGTGCCACAGCAGTAAAATGAGGCTCTCTATACCCACGTCTCCCAGGGAGGCTCGAGGATGAAATGGAAGGAAATATGTACCTTGGGCCATAAGCACTGAGCACAGGGCCACTCCCATCAGGCCGCCAGACTGGGAGCAAACCTGACAGACACCAGCCCACTCGGGCTCTTGCACTGCACTGAGGCCTCCTACATTTGTCCCTCGAAGTAGGACCTGAGCTAAGAATGCGTATACACTTATCTGCTACTTGTGATTAACATGCTCCAAGTGCTTCCCTGGTCATATTCAAAAAGATGTGGGACCTGACCATTACCGAGCCTTCGTTACTTACTACTGCAGGTATGTAATGCGAACCAAACTTTTGAGTAGATTTTAGAGCATTCTGAATTAGGGATGTTCAACTAGTAAATTTAAATATTTTAAAAATCTGAAAAAAATTCAAATGAAATCTGCAACACGTGTCGTCGTCCCAAGCATCTGGGATAAGGGACACTCCACCTGTATGTACTAAGCAAATGACATCACACTATATTTCAATGAAAACAATATCTTTAAATAAGACTATCTGAAAAAGGAGCAAAAGAGTCCCAGGCACTCACAAGAGTTAGGAATGTAAACAGGTGCCATTTTCTTACCAGGCCCACTGTCCTTCAGCGTCACCAGAGGGACAAAGTGGTGGCTGTCGTAGCCAAGGACGATGGGGAATCTGTAGCAGTCCTGGGCAGGCCAGTGGAGGGGCAGGTAAATCCCACCCACTTTCAAAGGGGCGAAATTCGAACCTGATTCCAAACTTCTCAGCATTTTGTCTGCTCAAGGAAAGAAAATGAGAAAGGTCACCGTGTGACTTTCATCAAATGCCACCCAGTACTGTTACCCGAAATTTCGGGATTGAGGGCTTTCCCTAAGAACCAAACCATGACAGCTGAAAAACGTGAGAATGCAAATAATCACTCGGCGGGCATCTCACCTGCAATGATGATGATGGGCCTTCTGAGGATGTTGCAGAGGACGAATATGTGGATTTCCTCCAGGGAGTTGTATGGGAGCGCACTGCGGGCTGCCGGGGAGTCTGCAGACGCCATGCCAACGAGGTTGTCCCATTCGTCATTCCAGTTCTAAGGGGAGAGAGGCGGGAGGGGGATTAAAGGCATCTGTATTCAAAAGCCCTTCCAGCACTACTCTGCCATCACACATTTATGTAACTCAGCTTATTTTTTCCCCTTTCTTGAAGTCATTATTCACATGATTGTCCCTTTTTCCCCGTTTTGGCCTTCTTCCTTTACTTTTTCCCACTACAAAGCAAACTCAAAGGTGGGGACAGCACCTGCTTTCAAAACAATCCCTGACGAGGCATAACACTGACGCCCCCTCATCCAAGTGTCCACAAAAGCCCGGAACTTGTGACCCAGACTGCTGAGGCAAAGGCCTGCTCAGGGCAGCATGTGACAGGCAATCAAAGTGAAAAACAACACAAAAGCCAAGGAATGGCCAGGGGCAGGAGGCCTGCTACTGAAGCGCTCCAGAGCCAGGAGTGTGCTGCTCAGCAGCTTCTGGGTGCAGGAGAAGCCTGGGATTTGTCCAGGGGAGGCTTTCGGGGTTTTCCATGGAGCGTGCTTTGCTTAGCCAAACCCATGTGATCCATTAAGTCATCTGCTCCTCCAGAGGCAGAGATGGCTCAGAATACCCTTTACCCACATGGAGCTGTCAACAGATGCTCCCACAGGAATGGAACGTACCCGAGTATCATAGCAGAGCCCCGTTTCCACGAATTCCTGAGATTTCAGAGACTCGAGCTGCCAGCGGAATTTGAAGTTGCGTGTGTCGGTCTCCTTAAGCGTGCTGAAGAGGGCTTTCCTCAGCACGAGGTCTGTGTCCTGGACACCCCACATGTACTGACAAGCAGCGTGCATGAGGCAGTTGCCATCGCCTAAGGACAGAGGGAGCGACAAGGAGCAAGGTCAAGCCATCTGCACGTAAGGATCTACAAAGGTTTGCAGAAAAGACTGGCCCAACTGCAATCACAGGGGCCGAAGGGCTCGATTTCATATCAAGGACCAACTGATAACATTTCACACTCTGATGACACTGGGAGGAAAACATTTTTTTTTTTTTTAAATGAACAGCAGCAACAGGGCAGAGGAGCCAGAGGACCTTGGTTCTAGGATGGCTCTGCTCCTAACTGATGCAGGTGACTTTGGGGGAAACTGACTGAGGTCTTAAACAGCTGAACTCCTCATGAAATGAGGGCTCTGGGTGGTGAAAGTCTACAATCTACCTCAGTAACAGACCTTGGTTTGCTGGCTATGGCACCAGCACTATTGCTCTAAGCAAGGGCAGCCAGGACAGAGTGTGCAGACCAGGAGACAGGCCTACCTCAGCCTACTAGACAGAGATGGTCTGGCTATGATTCAGTGTTACATGACTGGACCATTCCACTGGAGCTTGGGGCCCCAGTATTTTCCTCTCCTGGTTTGTACCTAGAGCCTGTGGGCACTGGCACCAGCCAAAATGCGTTCTGTGAGCCTGCTTGTGAGCAACTATCAAGTCCTTTTGAAAAGTTAAAAAGCACCCAGATGCCAAAATTTTAAAATAATTCAGTGTTTAGAGCTGGCATTTGGAGAAAAAGACAGGTCAATTTTCTTCCATTAATTGGTGACTTTTCATGTAAGGACCTAACTGTGGGGCTAAAACTCACAATTTCATATGGCTTTTTTTCAACTGCCAAATAATAACACTGGGGAGGGATTTTTAATAGGAAAAAAAGTTAACTTCTTAATTCCCTGTAGCAAATGCAAAGTAATATTTATTTTTTAAAAAGTTAAACTGTTCTCTTACACTATTATATAGTAAGGCAATAAACCTACTTGAAATTTTATCAAATCTTAATCATAATCAAACTGTAAAAAATACATCTAAAAACCCTCAAATACATATCCAATCAATATTCCATCAACTTACACACTTAAAAAACTAGCGAAGTATTCACACAAATGAACATAAAGATCACCCAAGCCTTGTGTCTTGGCAGAAGTGTAGCAATGATTGTATTCTGTTGAAATTTCCCCTTTGCAAAATCTAGAGCAAAGATAAGGCTTTTTTTTCTTCTTCTTGTGCTAACTTTCAGTTCTTTATTGAGATGCACCAGTATAAAATTCCCTAAGTAACATCTGGAATTCCCCAGTTCTAAGTTATTTGACTAGCAATTGAGCAACAGCTATTGTACGTTTTGTTCTGGTGTGTAGACATTTACACTGTGAACTGCAGGCTGGACTTTCCAAGTGGGTGTGGTCAGGGTGAGCTGGAATAGGGCTACTCATTATACAAGTGAAATCGCGGCAGCCAATAGACGATGGAATTTTTCATATGAAGTTTCAATTTTATGCCACCTACTCCCTTCCTCATTCACCGCAGTCTCATATCCTCAAATGCAAACTTGTGAATCACCCCCACAACAGAACACTGACTTTGAAGAAACCTTCCTATGGGGGGAAGCATTAAAACAAAAAAAAGTGCTAAAAATTAGACAAGAAAAGCCATTTGTTTCCTCCTTCCCTTAAATATCATTTCTTCCTTTTTTCCTAATTTTAAGAAATTTTCTGCAAAGTAGGAAAATCAGGATTGGGGGCCTAAAAATCCCTGTTTCCCAGGAAATGTTATCAAAATACACTTGCTTTTGTAGCATGAATCCTTACTGATTTAAATGACATATGATTGCAAAATAAATGTCTACTCTTTATATCCTTTTCTTAAGGAAACAAAGGATTTCCTGCCTTAAGGAAATACTGCAGAATGTAGGTTACTTCTGTTCATGGTAATAAGATTTCCCTCTTTCTACCCATTTATAATTCTCCCAAAGTTGACTGTCTCTTTTTTTGTAACAAAAATGGGACAGAGTTGAAACCACAGACTGTCTGTCAGGTACATAAGCCCCTTGATGACGACTTAACATAATTACCTACTTCTATGCATCACTGGATTTAATGCCAAGAACAATGTAGACAGTAGCTATCTCCAGTTTTCTTTGAACTTTTGTTTCTAAGAGTCTAAGCTTCATAAATGCAGGTAAGACGTTAAGGTGATATACAAGAGCCCCCAGAATAAAAACAAGCACAAAAGCTCCACATCTACCAATCATTTTGTGTTACTCAAGTCAAAAATAGCCAAAGCTAATGCACCAATTAAGTTATTAAGTTAATGTTATTATCATCATCACTGCCAACGAGGATTTTCTGTTCTTGGAGGTATTATTTTGATCAGGAGTTTAGTCACTGATGTAAAGACCTAAGATTGCTGCTCTTACCTAGGCTATATGCATTTAATTGATCTTGTACAATCTACTTACTTATTCTAACATCTATATCCAACAAGGCAGAATTTTGCACTGCATGTACTGCACGAGACAGTACGTGCCTGGATGTTTCAATCTATGCACAGATTCTTGCTCAAAGGAAATGATTAAAATATAAAACTGTAAAGCTTGGAACAGGAAATAGCTCTTAGTGGTACAGTGGTATAGGACCATAGGCAATAGGACCTAGGTAAGGGAAGATAAAACAACTTCAGCTTCCCAACAGCCTTAACCCATAAAATGTACAACTCAAGAATTACAAAGACATCACAAGCAGTTTCTAATAACAGTATGAAACAACAGTGATACCAGTTTTCAACACCATGCTTTCCTTTTGAACTTAAACCTTTGAAAATATTTCCATTACTACCCAGGGAAGGGCATTTTACAGATGATTAAACAGCTGCAAGAATTAGAAACATTAATCACCTAACTGGGCCATGGTGTTTAGAAAAACATATTCCCCAAGTCTCAAAGCCCTGTGCAAGGGAATACACACGCTTAGAAAATATTCTTCAAGAAAATGTTCACTGAACAAGCTTGCTTCTATCATGCGCCCCTCACGGAGCCAGTCTGCTAAGGCGGCTATGATTAGTGCAACTGAAGCTTCGGGAATGGGGAGCCCACACTGTGGGAGCTGTGCCGGACAGTGGAGCGAGTCTTACCATTGGTTTTCAGTGCCACGAGCTTCCTGACTTCACGACACCAGTTGAGCTTCTTCTGGCTTTCCAGGGAAGCCTGGATGTTTCTGTCGATGAGAGCTTTGTGGATGATCTCTCGGAACGGGGGACAAAACTGGCAAGTTCTGAACATTTCCAGCGTGTACCGGTGCATGGTTTTAAAATGATGAATGATCCCATTCGTAGGTTTGAAAATGTCTTCTGGAGTTCTCTCTCTTATCTTCACAGCTTTCCGCATATTGCTCAAATACAAAGCCTGAGGAAGGAGTTGTTCGGCCATGGTGTCTACGTCGCCTGAAGAGCAGGGGGAAAGAACCCATTCCATTAGCCTGCCTTTGATACTACTCCTATATACCTGCCGGCAGGAAACCCCACTGTTTGATCTTGTCATTACCCCAATCTGTAGGCAAAGGATCTTAGTCACCTCTACTCCTAGGATACTAGCCGGCCGCAAGGATGAACTCACACTGGACTGTTTTAAGTTACATCACTTTTAAAGATTAGTCTAAACAAGAGAAGGAAGGGGAGACTGGAGCTGAGGAGGAGGGGGATAACCCAAGTTTTCAGAATATCTGTCAGGGAGTCAAGCCTGGACCAAGTCAGGCCCAGGTCCTGGGCCACAAAAATCACTGAAGCTTCCCTGAAGCTGCCTTCTGAGGCCATCCTGGAATGGCCACTGGGTTTCAGGTGCACTGGATGCCAGCAAAGGGCACGATGGAGCCCAGACAAGCCTAGCTCCTCCCCCAGACCACCACCCGTCAGTCCCCGCTATTGGGCAAAGCCTTGAGTCCTCTTGTAAACACTCCCTCCCCAGGCTGCTAGGACAGTGAATATTTTGGGAAAGATCCTACAACTTGCTGCTGTCACTTAGGCTGCTGCTTGGTGTTTCCTCTTTAGTCCCAAAGCAAAGTATAAAGAGTTTATTCATGAAGTGTCTCCCAATATTTATAGTCAAAACTGATATCCAACAAACAAGCCTATTTCCAACACGTCGCTGTGCAGTTTCATAAGTAAATGGGCAACATCCTCTCAGAACCTTGTTACTGGACCACACTCATGACATGAGAATGAGAATCAGAACAGGAGATTCTACACTTCCAAGAACAGACACTGGAGCTCAATTATTTTGACTCATCTCTCAACCACATTTTAGTATGCCCTGCAGGTACCAACATTCAGGTGCATTTCCATCCCATCCTTCACCCTGAAATTGGCACGCATAATCAACAGGTGGAGGAAATGAAAATCTGGAAGCAGACAGGAAAGAAGTTTCAGCCAGGAGGCCACTCAGGACAAGTGGGGATGGAGTGGGGTCAAAGGCCAGCATCCCTCACTCCTGTCCCGTGCTATCTGCCTCACTAGCTCTTCGGTGGGCATCTCACTATCCATCCTTATTTTCAGGAGCACAAAACTGTCCCCCTTGGGAAATTTCCCAGCAATGGTTAATCCCCTCTCCTGCATCACACTCTCTGCCAGGACAGCCCTTCAGCAAAGAGAGGTGTTAAACTACAGGGAGAAGAAACCTAGAACTTAGGGAAGCCACTCCGGGAGGGTCTAGCTAGCCTCTCTTAAGTCACTGATAAGATGAATTAAATTCTTGAGGGCCACTTGAAGGACAGAGGTTGGGAATTAAAGGAGCCTGAGGCTGTGTAAGGATCTGTACTGAGATTCTTGATCTGATTGCTGGGAGAAGCTCTGGGTCAGATGATAGCAATTATTCCCTCTAGGTGGAATCAGGCAAAAGCACAGAAGGACCAAGACCACAATGGTGAGACAAAAACATCACACACATATCCTTTATGGTGCAGCAAAGTGCCTTTCACCAACAGTAGGAATCCATTCATCCATGAATCCACCAGACAAGAATTGCCTGACCACCCACTGAAAGACTGGGGCTAAAAGTCAGAGGTGATCTTATTTCCCCTACTTGAAATCACACAACTACCTTAGTCTGCTGCTACAGGTCCTGCCCGGCCCTACAATCATGCAGGGGTGGGGCTTCACCCAGAGCCAGGTCCTCCCATACCTGCCCCTCACCTGTGGCAGCTACAGGGCTTGCAGCTTGCAGATAGCGACAGCCAGGCAGTAGGAAGATTCTACACAAACTACTCTTTCCTCTTTTTGCTTTTCTGGCTCTTCTATTTTTCTTTTCCATACCTAAAGATCTTTCAGCAAAGATCTAACATGTTGAGAGCTATAAACCATACGCAAGACATGCAAATGTTAATATTCAACAGCTCAGTGCAATCTCATTCATACATTTCTTCCCCGCACAGCCCTGCAAGACTAAAATCACCTCCTTAAAAGCAAAACAAACCCAAGGCCCGAGTTTCCAGTTCTTAGATTTTTCCACACTTGAGATTAAAGAATACATTTTTCTAACATATAATTCTAATGTCTTTATGGGCAAAAACATACAGTACTGCCCTTAACTTTTTAATTTTTTTTTAAACTTGTTACCTCACTGCCTTAAAGTAATTTCCCAATTTTTGTCACTAGGATCAATAAAATTCTACAGAACTTAGTCATTACACTCTTTCCCCTTTGTTCTATTTTTTCCACTCTGGGCTGACATTTTTTGTCTGCGATGTGGAATTTTATGAATTATTTATCAACAATACCCCAGCCAACTGTTGGGAAGTATTCCTCCCAAAAACTGTACAAAGAGCTGCAAAACCCGGGAGCAGCATCTTGGATGGTGGGAATGGGCCACTGACTGGCTGCTCCGCAATCTGGGACCGGGGCTGCGGGACAGAGGGCTCTGTCATCACCAATGATTTTCCCAATGGGTTGCCCGACACTGGCCCCGGCTGGCTTCCCAAGGAAAGATGAGGCAAAGGGGGCTGAAAACAGAGCAGATTCAAGAAGAGCTGAACTGAGCTGAGCTCTTCTTCACTTAAAACCACTGCTTTCCTGAGACGCCAGGTGGCAGGATGTGGGACGACCCGGGCTGACGAGGTAGAGTGCGGGGTAGGGACTGGCGCAGGGACCCGCTGGCCGATCCTAGTGTAAAAAGCCAGCGACTCCTAGTCCGTGCACTCTTCTCTTAACTGCTGCAGCTGGGAAGCTGAAGGCTCGGCCCCGACCCACCCCCTGCACGGAGCACCGAGCATACCGACGCCGTCCCCGGGGCCCCCAGGAACCCTGGGGAGGCTGCTCCTGGGACACACATCCCTGCTGGGCGGGTTCTGCACAATCTGCGAAGAAACCGCAACGCTTCTGCAAGGTCTACGTGGCGACGAGCATGCAGCGCTGATTCCCAAACCAAGATGTGACAAGGAGCCAGAAAGCACCCACGACCACCCGACCCGAGCACCGAAGGCCGACTCTCCCTCCACCAGCCTGCTGCAGCCCGCGGTGTCTGCACTGTGGGCGGCGGGAGGCAGCCGGGGCTGTCACCCCGACATCTGCCACGGCGATCTCGACTCCAGCACTCCAAAACCCAGGACCGGCGCGAGCTAGCCGCACGCTCCTCCCCCGCCACCCAGCCCGGGACGGCAACGCAAAGCCCGCGCCTGCGAGACCTGGCCGCCCGCCACACGCCCGCGCCCTGCACCCGGGCGGCGCTCACCTCTCCGGGCCGCGCGTTCCTCTCGCAGAGTCCGGGTCAGGGCCGGCGCGGGCGGCTGACGCGGGTCGGGATCCAAATCGGAATCAGGGTGGGGGTCGGGCCGGGGCTGCACCCCATGGACGCCCGGGCTCGGGCTCGCTGGCTCGGCCGGCCGGCTGGGGGTGTGGATGCGTCCCGGCGGCCGCCGCTCCGCCCCCGCCAACTCCGCGCTCTCCGGGCTGTGCCACTGCAGACTGTGCAGTTTCCTTTTCTGCCTCGCAGTTGTACCGGCCGCAGCTCCCCTGGGGATTTCCACCAGGGACTTTCCAGTCACCTGATGGCGCGCCTCGGACCCCACCGGTCGCCAGGGGGCGCGCGAGGCCACCACGCTCAGGGCCCCGCGTCCCGCCCCGCTGGCCGCCCCAGAAACTCCTGCGCCCCGCCCCGGGGTGTCCCCGCCTGAGTCACCGGGCATTTCGGAAGCTGCCCTGCGCGTCACATCCATGTGGAAATCGTGGTGATGGGAACTGGAAACGAAATCGGTTCTTTTTTTACAGTCGCTTTTCTGCAGAAAAAATCAAGTGTGGACCCGCAGGGAAATCAGAGAGACAGAAAACCCTAAAAACCACCCGGCCCCCCGAGACCCAAGGGCTGGGCTGGAAAAGTCTGGGCTGAAATAAATCAGAAGCTCGAGCTTAAATATCGCAGGGCTTCTCTTACATGGGAAACCCAAAGAATAGATAAAGAGCAAAATAAAACAAATAGGAGCAGGGAGATCTTTTGCAGAAAAAAGGGGAACAAGAGAAAGAGTGGGATGGGAGGGAAGATGAAAGGGATGAGAAAAGAATTAGGATGTGTTGTGTCCGTGAGCCAACTCCACCCAAGGAATACAGTCATTATGTACTGCAAATATGCACTAATACAAATTAAAAATTAAAAAATTATAACACCAATTCCCAGGCTCAAAAAGAAAAGTCTGAGCTGAGCAGGAGATGCGCGTAGGGGGCAGCCCTTCACAGGCCTGGCGGGATTTGGACAGAAAGAAGTGGCAGCTCCGCTTCCGGTCAGCCCCAGGCTCCAGGCTGGCTGGGTGTTCAGGGACCAGGTGACGCCAGGCCCCTGGTCCTGCAGCCTTGAGTCCTGGGGCCAGGCCAGGCGTGGGTAAAATTAGCCTTAGGAGCAACCTCCAGCCCTACCCTCCACTCACTCCATTTCCCCTTTTTCCTTGCTGCACCCCTAGCGCCCTGCCTTGGTGGGGTCACATTCAAGGAATATTTCAAGCAGGATGTGGTGGTGCACACCTGTAATCTCCACACTCTGGGAGGCTGAGGCAGGAGGATGGCAAGTTCAAACCCAGCCTGGGCAATTTAGCAAGGCTCTATCTCAGAGAAAACTATATATTTTTTTAAGGCTGGGGATATTATTCAGTGCAAAGGCCCTGGGCTTAATCCCCAGCACTAGAAGGACAAAAAAGACATTTTAGAAACTGCTCTAGCCCTTTCTGAGGTCTGCTTTGCCTGCCTCAGGCTTCCTTAGGTGTGTCTTAGATGTCGGGGTAATTAGTTCACTCCAGGGAGCCCTGGCTGATAATAACCCCCCTTGTGTTCACTCTTGGGAAGGTGGAGCTGTATGCTAATTGTGCCAGTGGCCTGGGCAGAGGAGGTACAGCAGCTGCGCAGAGAGGGCAATGGGCTCCTGCCTTGATGCCTTCTATGCCCAGGGGTCCCCTCGGCCCAATTTCTAGAAGGGCTAAGCTAGGACCAGATGGAAATATTGGGTGCCGTTGAATCCCTAGAAAAGTATGCTCCCTCCATACCTCTCACCATGTACTAAACTAAAAATGAATCAAAGATCTAAATATTAACACAGAAAACCAGGCGTGGTGGTACATGCCTGTAATCCTAGCACTCAGAAGGCTGAGGCAGGAGGATTGCCACAAGTAGGAGGTCTGCCTGGGCTACATAGTGAGGTCAAGGCCAGCCTGAACTACATGAGACCCTGTCTCAAAAAAAAAAAAAAAAAAAGGAAAAAGGTCCCCTGCCTAGTAAGGAGGACCTGCAGAAATCGGACCAGGGATGGGGTGGAAGCACCTCTTTTGGCAAAGGGAGGCTTAGACCAGTAAGCAATGGCTCTGTCCCAAGGCAGTTCCTGGTCTTTTATTTATTTATTTTTGAGACAGGTTCTCATTATGAAATCCAGGCTGGTTTTAAACTCTCTTAGTTACCCAGGCTGACCTTGAATTTGCAGTAATTTTCCTGCCTCAGCCTCCTGAGTGCTAAGATTACAGGTGGATGCCACTATGCCTGGCTGGTCCTAGTCTTTTGGGGGTGTTCTTTTGTTTGTTTGTTTTGCTTTTGTTTTGTTTTGTTTTTTGACACAGGCTGTCATTATGAAGTTTAGACTGGCCTTGAACTCACTGTGTAGCCCATGCTGAGCTCAAACTCATGGCAATCCTCCTGGCTCAGCCTCCTGAGTACTGGGATTATAGGCATGTGCCACCACTCTAGACTTGGTTCTAGTGTTTTTTGTTTTTTGGGTTCTTTGGTACTGGGGATCGAACTCCGGTCCTTGCACTTTCGAGGCAGGCAGCACAACTGAGCTAAATCCCCGGCCCAGGTTCTAGTCTTTTTAAGCCATTGTCTGGAATCTTTTCTAACTCCAAACCTCCGGGTAGTATTTGTCATTTGCTCATTCCCACCTGTTTTCAGTGGTCCCCATGCCAACAATAGGTCATCCAGCCAATAATACAAAATGACGGGTCTTGGTACTTGCTATAGGCTTCCATGCACTTTTTATGTGAAGCTTAGAAAACTGCAGCCATCCTCCCAGGGAGGCTTGGCCCTGAGTGTCCCATGCTGAGGCCACACTGCTCAGGCAGCCCTGAGGCCCTGCCTCAAAGGACAGATTCCACCAAGGTCAGGTTGGGGCCTCTTCCGGGACTGTGAGTCATTCAGGCAAACAGGGGCCCATCCCACCAAGGAAGCCTCCTGGGAGTGCTTCGGGGATGAAAGAAGATGCTGGGTGCACACAAGAACTTGAATCCCCACCCTCCTCCTGGCCACCTCAGCCTCCTGTGTCACCTCAGCTGGGCCTGCGCCCTGGCCCCTCTCTGGCTCTTGTCTCCTGGGTTAGCTGAGCAAGGAAGGCACCAGGAGGAAGAGGGAGCCCTGAAGGCCAAGTTAGTTCCTGCCACTTCTGGCTGTCCAGACAGACAGCTGCCACTGTGCAAGCCAGGATTTGTGACAAGGACACAACAGTGAGTCTCGGGAATGTGGTGCTGGATTTTGTTCTTCCTCCATTTTCCCTGACTCTACTACTGAGTTCATGGATGCCCACCATTGATGAGTATGTTTTTAATCCTGGCTACTTTGGAAAGCTGAGGCAGGAAGATTGTAAATTCAAAGCTAGCCTGGAGAATTTAGAGAGACCTTGTCTCAAAACAAACAAAAAAATAGAAAGGGCCAGGGATGTAGCTCAGTGGCACAGTACCTCCCTGACTTTGATGCCCAATATCAATGCATAAATAAATAAATAAATAAATAAACAAATAAACAAACAGAAAGGCTGGGAAGCTGGGCATGATGGTGCATGCCTATAAACCTAGCACTTGGGAGGCTGAGACAGGAGGCTCACCATGAGTTCAACACCAACTTGGAATATATAGCGTGACCTTGTCTCCAAAAACAAAGGGTGTGCATCCCAAGATATCGAGGAGCAGGAGAAACCCGATCAGAGACACAAGCTTGACAAGCAGGAATGGGACTAAGCTCAAATGCCGTTCAAGAACTCCCCTCCCCTCCTTCCTTCCTTTTGGACAGACAGGGTCTCACAATATAGGTCAGGCTGGTCTTGAACTCATATAACCAAGACCTCAAATTCATGACCCTCCAGCCTCAGGCCCTGGTATTACAACTGGGCAGCCTCACAATTGGCCCAATGTGTGATCCTTTCCTGATCAAGAATCAGCAACAGTGCCTCTGAGAGTGCACTGAATCCTGAGCAGTGAAAGTCACAGATCAAAGCAAAACTGGACATTTGTGTCCCCTGCACCTTTCATTGGCCCCTTTCCCAACATTGTCCACTTTGGAGTGCTAGTAATTATTTTTTCTGGTACTAGGGATTGAACCCAGGGTCTTTGGACTGGGTGATCCCAGCCCTTTTTAAAATTTTCTATTTTGGTCTCCCTAAATTGTCCAGGCTAGACTGGAACTTGCAATCCTGCCTCAGCCTCTCAGAGTTCTGGAATGACAGGTGTGTGCCACCTCACCAGGTTATTCGTGCTTTTTTGAGCAGACAGATCTATATGAAATCGACTTTGAAATAGCCTTCTGTGAGGCTAAGTTTAGTTATCTCGTGGATGCTTTGGATGCACCATGCTTCAGATGTTAATGACCCTGGGTTAAGCTTCGAGGAGACCTGAGAGAAAGGAGTGCACTTTTGAGGCCCCGTGGGGGTGGCATCTGCGGAAGGGACGGGCGCTCCCTGCGGACCAGAGCTTGGGGTTTCTTCACCACACAGGTCTGCTTTCTCCCAAAATGGCGGCTCTGTCTCCGGAGCGCAGGTCCCTGCAGGGATTCGCGGGGGAATGGAGAAGTCCAGCCCACTCTACACGCTGTCACTGGGCCCCCAACAAAGCCCTGCCCCTCTGGAAGCTGGGCGCTTGGTTTGGGGCCAGTGCAGCCCCTCTCAGTCCCCGCTGGCCCGGAGGCCCGGATGCTGAAATGAAAAACTTGTCAGGAAATTCGCCCCTGTGGATTCCAGGTTAATTCCTGTCCACGCTCGGCTCAAACGCTTGGTAAAGTAATTTTATTTTACCTCACAGATCTATCGAACCCTGGTTTCATCTCTGCTTCTATGGAAGCTGCTATGAGTGACCGAAACAATGGTCAAACGATCGGGGCAAAGACAAAGGCCCAAATGGGTGTTCTTAGGCAGCACCAGGTTGGCCGCCGGCAGAGATGAGTCCTTTGTAACTGCGCCTCGGGGACCTCGCCTTCCACCATCCAGACTCCTTTTTCTCCTCATACGTGGGTTTGGGTTCTCCCAGGTCTTGCCTCCTTCCCTCTGGCCTCTGCAAAAAGGGATCTGGTTTTCCTCCCCTCAGATGCCTGTCTCCTGGGTCTAGCTAATAAGGGGATTGATGTTTCTTCTCCCAAACAGGCCGCAGTGTGGGACTTTGTTAAACTTCCACTGAAACCGGAACTTCCTACAGGTTAGTGCTGGAAGTCGCAGTTTAGGCTGAAAACATACCTGCTGTATTTCATTATCCTTTCTATTTTTGGGGGGGCGGGGGGACAGTACTGAGAATTGAGCCCAAGGCCTTTGCTCTGAGCTACCTCCCCAGCCCGTGTCATTCATTCATTCATTCATTCATTTTTTGAGGCAGGGTCTTACTAAATCACTAAATTGACCAGGCTGGGATTGAATTCGTGATTCTCCTGCCTTAGCCTCCTAGAGTGCCAGGATTACAGGTGTGTGGTACCACACTTGGCATATTCCCATGATCCTGAGAGTCTGTGGTTTAAGACACACTACAGATTTTGTAACAACGTGAGGGCTGGAGAACAACTTCACAATATTAAATGTACACACATTCCTCCTTTATTCATTTTACTCACTGACAATAGTGCACTTTTGCTGAGGGGCTATATTTCTCTTCTCCACTACAACCATCAATATTTCATTGGAAGGCTTCTATTCTGTGTGTGTGGGGGGAGGGTACTGGGGATTAAACCCAGGCCTACATCCCCAACCTTTAATTATAAAAAAAACAACAAAAAAAATGGGATCTTCCTAAATTACTAAATTGCCCAAGGTAAGAACTTGGGATGGATCTTCCTGCCTCAGCTTCCTTGAGTGCTAGAATTACAGGCATGTACCACCACACCTGGACCTAAGGCTTCTTGGAGGTTTTGATTCTGAAACAGAGATAAAGGGCAGGTAAACTCCCAGGCTTTTAAAGTGTTCCTCATTAAAAATTATTCTGAGGCATTTGGGGACTTGAAAGCTGCTTTTGCTAAAAACAACAACAACAAGGGCCGGGGATTTAGCTCAGTGGTTTCGCCGCCTGCTGTGCAAGCGCAAGGACCCAGTTCAATCCCCGGTACCAAAAAAAAAAAAGAAAGAAAGAAAAAGAAAAAACAACAACAACAAAAACCTGTGACTCTTCCTTGGGGCCTAGAGAAGCCTGTACTTAGTTTTAGGTAACTAAAAGCAGAACAAAGCTTGACCTTCTTTGCATGTCTCCTTTATTGTATTAGCACCTTGGACCAAACCCCCCAGCTCTGCGGTGGGCCTGTCCATCACTCTGGAAGGGTCTGTCTGAAAGTTAACATCAGACTGATCACTGCCTACCTTGTCTCTTCCAGCTCAGCCTTCCAAGTGCTGGGATTACAGGCTTGTGCCACCATGACCAGCAGGAATTTTTTTTAAAAAAAGAGAAACATGGGGGATTTAGCTCAGTGGTTCCTCCACCTGCCTCGAAAGCACAAGAACCTGAGTTTGATCCTCTGCACCAAAAGGGGGGGGGGAGACATGAGGCTTTATTAGGCAGAGATTTTAGAGATATAGGACACACTCAAGGGCAGAGTGCGGGTGCTCACAAAAATGAAGCACTCAGAAATGTTTTTAAAAGTGTGCATTAAGCATAGCACATGCCTGTGAGCCCACTTCCTCAGGAGGCTGAGGCAGGAGGATGGCAAGTTCAAGGACAGCCCATGCAACTTAGTGAGACTTTGTTGCAAAGTAACAAAATTAAAGGGCTGGGGTGGTGTAACTCAGCACTAGAGCACTGGCTTAATATGTGTGAGGCCCCGGGTTCAATCCCCAGAACTGCAAAGAAAAACCAGTGTTATAAAATTGAGGGTATGTAGTATTTTGGAAGTGCAGACAGTGAAGTTCGCTGATCCTGTTAGATTAATATAAAGAGATCTTTCTTTTTACCTAGGCTAGAGAATAAAGAGTAGACCAGTAAATAGGAGGTGCTGCTTTAAAATTTTAAGTTCCTGGGCTGGGGATTTAGCTCAGTGGCACCACACCTGCCTGGTAATGGCAAGGTCCTGAGTTCGATTCCTGGTACTGCAAAAAAAATTAAAAAAAATAAATAAAATTTTAAGTTCCCTTACCTACTACTAAGTGTCCCTGAGTAAAACTTAACTTACTGAAGAAGGAGAAAATAAACAGGCTCTAATAGGACTGTGTGTCCCTGAGAAGGATCAGACCATTTTCTTCTTTTGCATTTGAGAAAACAAATCGATTCTGTCCAGGGTATGTTGAGTATGAACGTTTCCTGTTCTTAATTACCCGTGGTGCGCTTGGGTAAGTGGTCCCGAAGGCCCTGCATTAAAGGTTTGGTCACCACCCTGTGGCACTGTTATGAAGTGATGGGGCCTTTAAGGGGGTGGGGCCTAGCAAGAGGAAGTGAGGTCACTGGGGGTGTGGCTTCAAGGGGACACTGGGGCTCTGGTGCCTCATCTTCCTGTCTCATTTCCCAGCCTCCACCAGGTGAGCTACTGCTCTTCTGGGGCCCATACCAGCGTGGACCCAAAAGCAACCTTTGAAACCATGAACCACCAGAGATCTTTCCTCCTTAAAAGCTGATTATCTCAGGATTTTGTGACTAACAAAAAACAACTAGCACACAGTGAATTTGACTATTTTCCCATGTGAATGTTTGGAAGTTTTAAAATGTGTTTTCATGAACTTCCATTTTCAGTCATTGGTAAATGAATTTGTCCTGTGCAAAAAAACACAACAAATCCTGTTTAATGTTGTATAAAAAGGGCTACTGGTTACTGAAAGCTCTAGAAGGTTTGCCATGGCTGATATATACAGTTCTTGCTTTGAACTGCAAGAGAATTATATTTCTTAGGTTGCTTAAAAATTCTTGGCTATGAGCATTTTTTCTTTTTTTTTGAGACAGGGTCTTACTATATAGTTCAGGGTGGCCTAGAACTCACTGTGTAGCCCAGGCTGGCCTCAAACTCACTGTGATCCCCCTGCCTCAGCCTCCTGAGTGCTGTGATTAAGGCGCTCTAGAATTCCTTTACGCATGCACTTGATTTTACAAATATAGAACGATGATGATGATGATGGTGATGATGATGATGATGACGACGACGGTGATGGTCAAGACGAGCTTTCCATCTGGTCCATAGGCCAGTCCTCGCATTCCTTCCAGGTGACATGAAGGCCATCCTCCAGGCCCCACGGATGATGGAGTTTAGCTCATTTCACGCTGATGTCTTCCGTGGGTGTCTCTGGGGCTGCAGGGGACAGCTGGGGTGCACAGGCGCATGGAATGTGCAAACAGCAGGCCAGAAACTTGCCCTAGACCTCGCTGCGCGGTGCTGTCAGGGAGACTTTCAGACAGATGGAGGTAAAACAGACTTTCCGGTCTCGCTGGAAATGCCCCGTGCTCTGCCCAACAGTTTGCCCATTGATAGTAGCAGAGGTGAGGCGAGGCCTGGGCCATGGCCCCTGGGCATTGTTTTGTCTGTTTCCAACCCTAATCTCATTGACTTCCCCATCTCCGGAAAAGTGAATAATTGCTTTTCTAGGAAGTATTCCAAGGACCACAAGGTTTGTGTCAGCTACCTGGGGTTTGGGCACAAAAACTTCCTCCGAAGCAGGTCTTCTAATTGGGGGCTTCCTGCAGGTTTCGCAGGAGAGCAACAGGATCCTTTCCTCCGCTGCACGCACGGAGTCTGGCGTGTCACCCCCTTCCCCTTCCCCCGCCTCACTGCCTTTGTGAACCGACCCTGCTGCTGCCGCTGCCCTTCAGGACCCAGAGCCCAGCCCAGGATGCTTTTTCCTTCTAGAGGGCAAAGATTTTGCTCTAAAGAACCGGCTTCCTTAGGGCACAAAATGTTCTCCAAGGAGTGCAGGGTCCAGGGGCAAATCTGCATCTTTTCCACTTCTACCTTATTCTGCTTCAACCTGGTTCCAGTGACCTAAGGGGACCCTGATGAATATCAAGTGGACAGTGTACGAAATGGCTCACCTCACAGTTGTTCAATGGGTCAGTGAATCCCCTTCCCCATGCCATGTTGTGTCCCTGCTCCTAGAAAAACATCCAAAGCTGGCATCGTGGTAATCTCTGAACTCAAGAGGCTGAAAGAGGAGGTTTGCTTTGAATTTGAGGCCAGCCAGGGCTGCATTCAAAGCCAAACTGAACTACTTAGCGAGACCCTGTCTCACCCCTCCCCCCCCCAAAAAGCAAAGAAAAATGACCCAAAGAAACACTCGCTCCAGAGTCGCTAAAGATAAGGTGCCCATCCACTGCAGCCCAGGGCCCCTTACAACCAGGCTTTGTGTCAGACAGAGCAGCACTCAGCTACCGTCCGCCCTCCTAGACAGCAGGGTCCTTCCAGGCAAGCACAAAATATCTGGAAGCTTCTTTTCTGAAACGTTGTTTCTGATTTACAACTTGGAGCTGCTCTTGCACTCTGCTTTTTTGCGATCCTTATTATTTCGGAGTTTTTTGAGACAAGTATTCCAGGCTGGCCTCGAACTCGAGGCGCTCCTCCTGCCTCTGCCTCCTGAGTGCTGGGATCACAGGCCTGGGCCACCCTGACCACCTGCCTGCGCTCCATTCCATTCTAGGGCCATACTGTTATTTAATCCTGATGCCCTATAAGGCTGTGCTTGGTCATCTCCACCTACAGGGGTCGGAAGGCGGAGTCCAGCTGCATGGGGCGGGAGGCAGCAGGGACCTCCACATGCACAGTGGGGTGACTGCACTCCCGCACTGACCCCATGCAGTGGAGCGGCATCTCCTCGCTTAACTCTGAGGGAGGTTGAGCACACGTTTACAGTTGAAAGAACTGCCTTTGTTTCCCTTCCTCAAACCGCAGAAGCCTTCTTGGGCATTTTCTCTTGATTCTTCACCTTTTTTCCCTGCAGTAATGAGAACTGAACTCAGTCTTTGCTCTGAGCTACATCAACAGCCCTTTTTAAATGTTTTATTTTGAAGCAGGTTCTTGCTAAATTCCTCAGGCTTGAATTCGAACTCTTCCTGCATCTGCCTCCCAGAGTGCGGGGATTACAGATGTGAGCCACCAGACCTGGCTAGTAGCCTTATGAACAGTTTATGTATAAGGAAGTCGTTAATCTGTATATGAAATATATATATTTAACTTTGGTTTTTTTGTTTTTATTTTTTTCCAGTATCAGGAATTGAACTCAGGACCTTGCACTTGCCAGGCAGACAGGGCGCCACTGAGCTAAATCCCCCGCCCTGCCTTTTAACTTGGCATATAGCATATTATTTAATTTCTTCAGGTGACCACCTGGTTGTTCTAACATCATTTACTGAAGAATGCATTAATCTCCAGCTGAGTCTATCATATACTGAATTTCTCTGAATTTTAATGCATTGTTGGACTTTCTGTCTATTCCACTGATTTTGTTCTTATGCAAAGTCACATTTTAATAATTAGAGTGGTTATAATATGGGATCATGTATTCATTTTTTTCCTAAATTTTCCTGGTTTATCTTGCTTCTCTTCTCTTTCTTTTTTTTTTTTTTTTTTTTTTTTTGAGACAGGGTCTCACTATATAGTTTAGGCTGTCCTTGAACTCACTATGTATCCCAGGCTGCCCTCAAGCTCAAGGGGACCCTCCTGTCTCAGCCTCCCAAGTGCTGGGATTACAGGGGTGTGCCGCCAGTCCCAGCTTCTTGTTTATTTTTTCATATGAATTTTAGAACCACTGATTCAGTCTCTTTCCTCCAACAAAATCAGTTTTTGTTTGTTTGTTTTGCTACCAGGGATTGAACTCAGGACCTTGTGATGCAAGGCAGGTGCGGAGCCACTGAGCTAAATCCCCGGCCCAAAATCAGTTAGTTTTTGGAGGGAGTATGTAAATTTATAGATTAAATTAGGATGATTCTAAATACTTATGATGTTGAACCTGTTTATTGAAGACAAAGAGATATCTTTCCATTTAAATATATTTATGTCCTTCAGTAGTACAGTGGACACCTGAGTTATGACTGGCCTGACATATGAACTTGGGTTATGATAGGAATTTTAGTTTTTACTTATGAACAAAGTCTTGAGTTATGACCTGAATGCTGGCCACTTGTGCTTACAGATGATCTCAGATACAGATTTCCTAGTTCATTCATTTTTTTTTTTTGGTACCGGGGGACCTTGTGCTTTTGAGGCAGGTGGCCGAATCACTGAGCTAAATCCCAGCCCAATCTCAGATACAGATTTAACCCTTAAAGAGAACCCTTGAAGAGAATATTACAATAACCTTTACTGTGTGGGTTTAACTGAGAAATCCTGGGCCAATGTCTCTCTAAGGTCACTGAGATATGCCTGTGTACAGGAGAGAGACTTTGCAGGCTGTGTAGAGGAGCCTGAGCCTTCAATTGACCAACTTGAGTTACAACCAGCCCTCAGGACCGAATTGTGTTCGTAAGTCAAGGGTCCACTGTAGTTTGAAGTTTCCCCATATAGATGTTATACAGGGGGATAATAATGGTGTCTACCTTAAAGAGTTCTTATAAGGATTAAATGAAAATAATATGCTAGCTGTTTGTGGTCATGCACGCCATGATCCCCTTACTTGGGAGGCTGAGGCAGGAGGATTCCCAGCCAGTCTGGGCTACATAGAGTTCAAGGCCAGCCTGGAATACATAGGGAGACCTTTTCTCAAACAAAAAACAAAAAGCAAACAAACACAAAGATATTATGCACCCAGGCCTGGTGGTACACACCTGTGATCCCAGCACTCAGGAGGCCAAGGCAGGAGAATTGTGAGTTCGAAGCCAACCTGAACTACATAGTGAGACCCTGTCTCAAAACACCAAAAAAAAAAAAAAGAAAGGATATTAAAAAAGATAATAAGCGGTACCTGTCTGTAACACACACTCAAAAAACACAATGCATGACAAATCTGCACATTGCCATATCTGGGAATTTGTGTGACTAATCCAATAAGATAAATCAGTCTTTAATTAATCTCAAATTTCCATGATTGTGACTCACTCTGGGCTTTGCCCTTGAAGTAGTAACTGTGTTCCTGCCTCTGCCCCACCCACCTGTGTCCTGCTCACCTCTGCACTAGGGTTACCGGGGTGACCAGGTGCCCCCCAGGGTCCCGGCTTTGGGTCCAGGGAGCAGTGAACACCTGGAAGAGGCAGCTGCATGGGAATCTCATTTGCTGCCCCTCTGGGCTCCTGTGAACAGGACAGAAGAAATACTGCTGTGTGCAGGATTGCTTCCCAAACTCTTTTCTTTTCATTTTAAAACAGACGGTCTCAACTGCTCGTGGAAGTGTGCTCCGGTGACACTAGCAGGAGGATCATGGAAGATTCGAGGCCAGCCTGGGCTTCATGGTGAGTTCAAGGCCAGCCTGACCTACAGAGTGAGACCCTGGCTCAAAAAACTGAACCCAAAGAAATCTTTTAAAATGGTGAATGAACAAAGCCACAGTTCCTTTTCTAGTTTCCATCAATGCCCTCGGCATGAGCTTATTTCCTGCCTCTTAAAGAATGAGGGCTTACTGCTGGGTGTGGTGGTGCGTGCTTGTAATACCAGCACTCAGGAGACTGAGGCAGGAGGATCGAAGCAAGTTCAGGGCCAGCCTACATACCGAGACGCTGAAGCACAGTGCCACGCTTCCTTAGAGAGGGGCGCAGCTCGGTATGACAGGCCGGGGCAGGCACTGGGACAGAGCCTGGCGTGTGGGAGCAGGCATGTGGAGAAGGTGGGATTCCAGCCCTCACTCTGGTCACGGGCAGAGCGGATCCAGCACTTAGTGCAGAGGCGGTGGGAGCGCTGGTGCCTGAGCAGAGCAGGTCCTGGGACCACAGCACTGGGCTCGAGGGGTGGGAAGCCACCGCACTGCTAGGAGCCATTGAGGCTGCAGCGCCTTCAGGAGTGCCCTCTGCTCCGAACACAGGACATGCTCAGTGTTTGTTGAGTGAATCCAGGAGGCTGACAGCCAGTTTCTGAATGTAGGGCACCCAGGAGAGCCGGGCTGCAGCTTAGTCACCACATGGTGACTAAGGACGTGGTCATCTCAGGGCCAGGTGAGGCCGGGCTGCCACTTGGGCAGCCAGGTAGGGGAAACCAGGAGGATGAGGAGTCCACAGGCAGGTCCTTAATCATCTGCGACAGCTTTGTACTATCACTGGAAATTCACTTTTGATCAAACACTGGAAATGTTTTGCCATTTCCCCGGTTTCCCTGATCCAAGATGGTAGATTCTTACTAAGGAGGTCACTTAGGTCCTGGATGTCACTAATGAGTGTTACACTTGCATGAGGCTGGCACTGGGAAAGCCAAGAAATCCTGGAAGGTGGTATTACCGGGCCTACTTTACAGGTGAGAAACCTTGGGATCGAGGTCAGTGTCCTAGCTGGGCATGATGTTGCACTCCTGTAATTCCCAGCAGTCAGGAGGCTGAGGCAGGAGGATCAGGTTCAATGTGGTCTTATATTGGAACGGGATCTTCAAGCCCAGAATCCACCCTGCTCTTCCCAACCTCCCTGACCCGACCTTTCCCCTCCATGGGGGCTGTGTGGCTCAGTCGCCCTGGTAATTGCAGACTCCAAGTGAGATTGGGAGATGCTTCGTGTCATCCTTGGGAGGTGCTGAGGCTGCTGACCCAGAACCAGATATTGAATAGCTAAAAGCTTCACTTCGACAGGCAGGTAGTGAACATTGGCGGCTCTCCCAGCCGGGGGTCTCGGGCACATCTCAGTCCTGCTGGGAGGGGTCAGGAAGCCACAGGAGGGTGGCGCCCGCCTGAGCTGCAGGCAGGTTGGTGACAGTGTGCTAGGAGACCCTGTGCTCACAGTGCTCAAGTCCCCAAGAGAAACCTATTCTGCGCACAGTCGCTTTATAAAGTAGGCACCATTATGATGCCCATTTAACAGATAGGGTGACAGAGAGAAGGGGTAGACAGCATGCCCAAGGCAATTCTTTTTTTCTGAGACAGGGTCGGTCTTCTGAATTCCAGGCTGGCCTTGAACTAACTATGGAGCCCAGGATGGCTTCAAACTCACAGCAATCCTCCTGCCTCAGCCTCCCAAGTGCTGGGATCACAGGCACATGTCACCACGCCGGCAGAAATAGCTCCTTTTGTCTTTCTGTTTCATGCTGACTGACCACGACCCAGGGCTCCATCTCAGCACTTAGTGTACAGAGCCAGTTCACGTCGCACCATGCTCGTCCTATGGTTTATTTCTAGAAGCAGGTGAAGGCAGCCCCCATACTTCCGGCTCTTTCTGTCCAGCAGGGACGCTGGCTTGCTGTGTGCACTGGGCTCAAGCGACAGGAAACAGGAAGGTGTCCAGTGGGTGCGAAGGGAGCAGGTGGAGCCTCTGTGCCTGGTCCAGGAGGCAGAGAAAGCTTCAGGCGACTCCCAGGAGTGATGTCCGCCTCTCCCTTGGCTGCCTTGGAACTACTTCCAGGACCTTGAGTAGTTGGGCTTGGGGAAGGGGTTTCCCGAGGGTATTCCCGGCTTGGTTTACCCCCGGGCCAGTTTGGGAAATGGAGCTCCATGTGGTCCTTATTTAGTGGTTTTCTGGTCTCTGAGATCACATTTTACTGGGCTTTTCTAGTGGCAAGAGGAGCACCTGACTCAGAGAGGCGAGTCCACGGTTTCCCCAGAAGAACACACCCTGCAGGAGCAGGGTCCAGGCCCAGCAAAAGCTGCCTCCTAAGCTTTGACCACCACCCAGCCAGCACCCACCAGGCAGCAAAACAATGTGTGGCTCCCTGAATTCTCCGAGGATCCCGATGCTGCTGCCTGGGGACTGCGCCTCCCGGTTACTTCCTAGGGCCACCAGGTTGGTCTTGCAAACCAGCCCTGCAGTAATTAATATTTTTATTAACATGATGACAGCAAGCTGTGACTCGTATAGGCACATAACTGACTGGCACTTACAATACAGATTTCCTTTCTTTTCTTTTTGATTTAATACTTGCAGTTTGAGTTTTTAACTTTTATTTTATTTAGTCAGATGTGGTGGTACACGTCTGTCATCCTAGCACTCAGGAGGCTGAGGGAGGAGGATCACCATGTGTTCAAAGCCAGCCTGGACTACATAGTGAGTTCAAGGCTGGCCTTAACTACATAGTGAGACCCTGCCTCAAAAATTTTTTTTAAAAAAATTTATTTTAAAATTATTTTAATGAGTTTTTAAAAATATTATAAGAAACAAGCTGTGAACAGCTCGAAGGGCAGGGCTTGCCTAATTTCCATGGGCGGTGCAGCCAGGAAAATCTTGGGCTCTTTGGTTGTTAACAGAGTCAGAGAAGTCCCAGGTTGCTTTAAACATGCCTCGTAGCTGTGTCTGCAAACGTCAGGGAAGGCATGCGGCTGAGCAGGAGAACACACCAAGTACCAGGGACTCCTGTCCACCACAGGGTGCCCTGAGTGTCCTGTGACCTGGAGTAACTGAGTTGGGACACGGGGCACAGCACGCATGGCATCAAATGTTGACTTTTGCACTCTAGGAAGAGATTCTTTCTAATTCAACCTAACAAACCCTGTTAAGTAATGCTTATATGAAACGAGGGGGAATACAGGAAAAGAGTTTCGGAAATACATTTCCTGAAAATTTTAAATTTTACAGAAATGCTTGAGGCAGATCGATTTCTAGGTGCTTGGAGTCTGAATTCAGTAAACGATAGTGGCAGCAGCATCAGAGTCTGGGTGAATACAAAGGTAACTGAGGTGTTTTGTGTTTTTTTCTTGAGACAGGGTCTCACTGTGTAACCCAGGCTGGCCTTGAACTTGGGGCGACCCTCCTGCCTCAGCCTACTGCGTGCTGGGATTACAGGTGTGTACCACCACACCTGGGTTTCATTAGTCATTTTAAGATTTGGTGCTACATGGGTTGATGAGGACTCTGTTACCTATTGTGAGATACAAATAACTCCCAAGAACCCACCCCAGGCACTCCAGGATATTACCCACTGAATACTCTCTGGAGCTGATGGAAGCCGTTGGAGTCCATAGGACAACGCAACAGCCAGGCAAGCAGTGGCCAGGTCTTGAAGCTCTTGGAAGAACTGAAAGTTGAGCCAGCTCCTCAAAGGCAGATACAACATCAGGAGTTCCAGAAGGGGAGTGATGTGGGCCGAGACTGGAGCGGAAACTGAGCTGGAAGACAAAGGCAGGAGAGAGACTGGGCAGGGTCACCAAAAGAGGCCTGCAAGTCAGCCAGGGGACTTCAGCTGTGGCAGGGATGGGAAAGCAGAGCTCTGGAGACTTTCAGCTGTAAAGTGGTGAGAGGGAAATGTGTTTAAAGAGCTGGGCATGTAGTGTACGCCTGTACTCCCAGCACCTAGGAGGCTGAGGCAGGAGGATCACTATGAGTTCAAAGCCAGCCTGGGCTACATAGTGAGTTCAAGGCTGGCCTGAGTTACATAGTGAGACCTTGTCTCAAAAAAAACAAAGAATGAAAGAAGGAAGAAAAGGAGGAAGGAAAACAGGAAGGCAAGAAAAATTCCATTGATTCGGCAGGGAGGAATTCTAAGGGAGATAGAAAGGTGCTCCTTGGGTGATTGCTTCTTGTTGTTTTAATTTTTATGAGCACGTTTGCAGCCCATAAGGAGCATTCGTGGCTGGAGTCTGATTTGGTTTCACTTCCCCTTCCACCCGCTCCTGCTGTCCCCAGCCCCCTGCCCTGGGCAGATCTGCCTGTGCTTTATGGACCCTGGCTCTCACGCCTGGCCATTTTGCCAACGTGTGAACTGTCTCATTCAAACAGCGAACCTAACGTCTTAGGTTCATTCAACATAACAGTGTTTCAGCCTTGGATATGAAAACGCTCTGTGCGGTTTCCCAGCCGCTCCCACTGCTTCAGGACAGGAGGCCGTGAGTGTGTGGGGCCCAGCTTTTCCCAGGGCCCGGCTGACTCCGAGCCGGGCGATCACCACCCTGGCAGACAGCAGATGGATGTGGAGTCAGCCTGGGCGGCTGGGGGAAGTCACAGGGCCCAAGGGACTCAGTGAGGACCCAGCACAGTGGCCCTGGAGACGTCCACAGTGAGTCTGCCTGAGGGGAACCGGAAGAAAGAAGGGCCAGCTGGGCTGGAGCAGGGGCCGGTGCAGAGGCTGGAGGAGGCAGCACTGGGCCGAGGCTGCTGGCACTTCCTGAGGGCCCCACCTCCCTGCCAGGGGTCTTGGTGACATTAACACCCTCAGCGCCTCCATGTCCTCTGTTGTCAATCTCCTCATCCTATCCTATATTCGTCTCAGTGTCCATGGCGTCGGCCCACACCCTCCGCAGACACCTGATTCCAGGTGCCTCGAGCCTCGAATAGCGTGGCCTAGTAGTCCAAGCTGGTCTTGAACTCACTATGTAGCCCAGGGTGGCCTGGAACTTGTAGCAGTCCTCCTGCCTCTGCCTCCCGAGTGCTGGGATTATAGGCCTGCACCACCACACCTGGTAGGTGGAGTATTTTCATGTGAGCTCCAAACACCTGCCCTCTCATGTGCTTTAAATCACCTCCAGCCCCTAATGGCGGGACACCATACTGAGGGCTGGTACCCTCTGTTGTGTAAGGAATAATCAAGGAAAACGCACTGTGCAGTTCAGTAGGATGCAGGGCTTTTCACATACTTTCCATCTGCAGCTGGCTGAACTGAAGGTCCTGCATTCCCAGGTGGGAGTGCCCCCTGACGGCACCTGTGCTGTGCGCGGCCATGCCTTGCGGTCAAGGTCCCCTGAATGTGCTCGGCGCCCCCATCATCTTGAGGCTGGACCTCTCTGCTCTGAGGACCCGTTCGTTCCCAGGCTTCCTCCAGCCGAGCCCAGCCTCCCTTCACCCAGTTCCTAGCCCAGGCACCTCCCTCTGCCTGGCCCAGGGCTTCACTACCGATTCCCACTGTGACTGCCACACTGCGCTTAAGCATTTGTGGTCGATGATGCTTGTTTCATTCCTCCTAAGCCCTTCAGACTTCCAAGCCTGCTCGTCCTGACCCTGAGCCTGCTCCCCTCTTTCTCATCTCAGGGTGGGCAACCCAGCGGTGAGTCACCCTTACCCAGAGCCCAGGAGGCCTCTGGACTCCTTTCTCTGCTCACATTCAGATGGTGGACAACTCTGGTAGGCTGAAGCAGGAAGATCTCAAATTCAAGCCCAACCTGGACAACTTAGCAAGCCCTCCTCACAAAATCAACAGTAAGAAAAGGGCTGGGGATATAACTCAGTGGGAGGTGCCTAGGTCATTCCCAGTACTGCGGCACACAAACAGAAAGTGGCTAAGTCCCATTAATTGTATCAACTTCACTTCTCTTAGTTTCCTCTCCATATCCGAATTTTTCTTTGGTTCTTTTTTGAAACAGGATCTCACTATGTAGCCCAGGCTGGCTTTAAACTCGAAGCAAATCCTCCTGCCTCAGCCTCCCTAATGCTGGGATTGCAGGCGTGTGCACCACCACATCAGCTTCTGAGTCCATCTTTATGGCTAATATCGAAATCCCAGAGGCAGGGTATATAGTAAGGAAAGCTCACAGTTTCAGAGGCTGGAGGCCCACATAGCCTGTGGAAGCTCTGGTGGGGCCCTGGGCTACGTCACATCCCGGAGTCAGGCACAGAGAGGAGGCTGCTGGGTCCTGCGGTCCCTTCTGAGGACTGGTCTGTCCTGACCTCATGGTCTCCCACAAGACCCTGCCTCTAGAGCTGGGCGTGTTGGCACATGCCTGTAATCCCAGCACTCGGGAGGCTGAGGCAGGAGGATTGCTGCAAGTTTGAGGTCAGCCAGGACTACATAGTGAGTTCAGTGCCAGCCTGAACTACAAAGGGAGACCCTGTCTCACCCCCCCCCCCAAAAAAAGACCCCACCTCTTAAAGAGGCCACCACCTACAGTAGTGCCCACCTGAGGACCAAGGCTTCAGACATGGCCTTTGAGGGGGCATACATAGGACACCCAAACCTAGCACCCAAAACCTCAATCCTGTTTTGTGAAGGAAGTGTCCTGGATCCTTTTCCAGGTTCCTCTCTGCCCTGGTGCTCAGGATCTAAGGTTCCCTTATACTTTGTTCCAGGAGCCGGTACTCATCTGTCTCTCACTTTCTGTTTCTCCTATTTTTTCCTTCTTCTTGCCTATGAATCAGCTCTTTCTTCCCTACTGAAATGAAACAAAGTAGCTGGGGTGATGGTGCAAGCTTATGATCCCAGGGCTCTGGGAGGCTGAGGCAGATCTCAAGTTGGAGCACACCCTAGGCAATTTAGCAACTTAGCAAGACCCTGTATTAAAAATTTTAAAAATTTAAAGGGCTGGAGATGTAGATCAATCCAAAGATCCTGTGTTCAATCTCCAGTGTTATGGTGTATATCTAGATATTTCCCCAAAGCCTCATGCACTCATAGGTGGGGCTTTTCATATGTGGTGGGATCTAAGTGTGTGAATATGGATTGAGGATGTAACTAAATTTGTCCACTGATTGATTTAGCATCGATCTGGTGTGGGTAATGGAAGCCCCACCCTGGGGGTAGGTAGCACCACCCAAAAGGCTTGTAGCATGGATCAGATAAAAGGGAAAAGGAGGCTGCTGCTGCTTGTTGCCTCCTGCCTGCTCTGCCATGGGCTGTTTCTCCTCTGCCATGACACTCTGCCTTGGAGCCAGCCAACTATGGACTGAAACCTCTACAGACTGTGAGCTGAATAAACCTTTCATTCTTTAACTTTGGGTGTTGAGTACTTTGTTCCAGCAATAAAAAAGTAAGTAAGATGCTCAGTACCACAGTAAGTAAATACATAAATAAAAACAGAATGATGGGCCAGGGATTTAGCTCAGTGGTACCATGCCTGTCTTGCGAGTTTGAAGTCCTGAGTTAGATCCGAAAAACAAAGCAAAAACAAAAAACCCAGAATAAAACAAATCCACTTCCCTAACCCTCCCCTGTTCATCCTGTCCATGGTGGTTTTCCCTCCATGCCCACACATGCTCCTACTCTCTTGTTTACCTGTTTTCTTAATCATGTTCATCACAGTGCTATTTTATTTTCATTCTAACTCATTTTGACCCCATTGGCATGTGAACTGCATGTGGGTTGGGGCTCATCCCCAAGTTCCAGCCTGGCACCTTGTACAGAGACATGTTTTTTGGTTTATCTGATGGATAAATGAATGCATCCAAGTGAATAAAGAAATGAACTTACTATCTGTCTTCACTTCAATTTTCTTTCTTTCTTTTTTCTTTCTTTCTTTTCTTTCTTTCTTTCTTTCTTTCTTTCTTTCTTTCTTTCTTTCTTTCTTTCTTTCTTTCTTTCTTCCTTCCTTCCTTCCTTCCTTCCTTCCTTCCTTCCTTTCTTGCCTGCCTGCCTGCCTGCCTGCCTTCTTGCAGTGCTAGAGATCAAACCCAGGGGTGCTCTACCAGCAAGCCATGCCCCCAGGTCTTTATTTTGTCTTTTAAAGACAGGATCTTGCTATGTAGTAGAGGTGTATATCCAAGGGTGGCCCCCAGCTTGCAGCCCTCCTGCCTCAGCCTCCTAAGTAGCTGGGATTACAGGTGTGTGCCACCATGCCAGTCTTCCATTTTTCCCTTGGTAATCCAGCCTTCACATGACCTGTAAAGCCATCTCCCTGAAATACCAGTTCTGAGCACCCCAAGCATCCACTGAGAAATCTGTGATTGTGTAGGAAACCCTTGAAGGGTTAATAAGAGGGGTCCTCTTAGTGAGGCTCGGCCCAGTGGTGCACGTCTGTCATCCTAACTGCTCGGGAGGCCGGCGCAGGAGCTGCACAAGTCTGAGGGCAGCCTGGGCGACTTTGTGAGGCTATGTCTGTCTCAGAAAGAGAATGAAAAGAGGCTGTGGGTATGGCCAGCGGCACAGTGCTGAGTGTCTGTCTGCACAAGGCCCTAGCTCAAGCCCGGTCCTGCAAAATAAGAAAAGTGCACCACTTAGACTCTGTACTGTGACCACAACCTACCGCCATTTTCATAAAAGTAGCCTGAAAATCATCTTAGTCTTTATTTTTTCACCTCAGCCTTTACTCCTTACTCTGTGTTATAACCAAGTGGATCACTGATTGTAATTCATTGTACATGCTCCTCTATTTTATTAATTCTTGGATGAACTAATATAGGAGGAAATAAATGGAATGGAGAGATACTTTTTAAGTTAATTACTTACAGCTTTGGTTTTCAATACATTTTTTGGAAATATATAGCTCAGAAAATTGAGCCCAAAGTACCTATCTATGGATATATCTTGAATTAGAAACATTAAATTTATGACTCTTTCATGAAACAGTTCAAGTTTGTTTATTGAGACAGGGTCTCGCTATGTAGTTCAAGCTGGTCTTGAATTCACTATGTAGCACAGGCTGGCCTCGAACTCCTAGTGATCCTCCTGACTCAGCCTCCTGAGGCCCCACGACGTTACACTCAGTCTTTCTGGGGCCTCACATGCACACATCCATCCAGTGCTATACAGTAGTTTGGATCTTGAATGTCCCCTAAACACCTGTGTGTGGAGGGCTTGGTACCCAGCAGTGCAGCGCTGGGAGCTGTGGAACCTTTAAGAGGCGGGGCCTAGTAGGTCTTTAGGTCGTGGGGGCGTGGCTTCCTCCTCTGCTCTGAGGATTTGAGGCAGCTGTAGCCTGCCCCAAGCTCCTCCCACAACCTGCAGCTTCTTCACAGGCTTAGACCTAGGAAGCCCCTAGTTCCAACTAGAGCCTCCAGAACTGTGAGCCAGAATTAACCTCTGTTTATAAGTTATGAACCAGTATTGTTTTATTTTTATTTTTTGTGGTACTGGGGCTTGAGTCCAGGGCCTTTGTGGTGAGCTACATCTTTAACCCTTTTTAAATTGTTTATTTTGAGCAAGGTCTTGCTAAATTGCCAAGGCTGAGCTCAAACTTGTGATCCTCCTGCCTCAGCCTCCCAGAGTGCTGGAATTACAGGCGTGCATCACCAAACCCAGTTTATAAAGCAATTATTTCGGGGGTTTTTAGGCTTTGTTAAAGTTACAATAACAATGTATGAGAAAATAGGCCTTTTGAAGTAGGAAAGTACAAATAATTTATAAGTGAGTCTGAAGGAAGTATAAACAAGAGATTGGGGGTTTGTTCTTTGGTTATATTCCCAGACTTCAGGCCTCAGACATTTTCAGTTCCTCAAGGTTCTGTTTTTGAAAAAAAAAAAAAGTTTCTGTTTTTGTTTTGTTATTCAGTTAAAAAAAATTTTTCCTCTGTTCATAGTTTTAAAAGTTCTTGGGAAAAAAAAAAAAAGTTCTTGCAAGCTAGGTGTGGTGATGCACATCTGTAATCCTAGCACTCGGGAGGGTGAAGCAGGAGGATCGTTGTGAATTCCAGGTCAACTTGGGCTACATAGTTCAATGCCAGCCTTAACTACGTAGTGAGACTCTGTCTCGAAAAGATGTGTGTATGTATATATATGTATATATATAGGCAATGAACATGTGCTGCTGTGTTAGGATTCATGGAAGGCTTATGCATGATGCCTCCGTGGGAACAAATGGCCTCGAATTCAGGCAGGAATTTCAGGCTGGGTTAGGACAGCATCCCCGCTATATACTGGAGCAGCTGAGACCCGAAGAGAGGAGAATGTGGGGTTCCGGGTGGGCACTGAAGGAAGCACAGTCTGAAGCCCCGCGCTAAGAAGGCTGCAACCCAGCGAGCTGTGCTCGGAGAGCGACGAGGATCCTCCGGTGGGCGCCCCGCGCCTGCGCCTTTCTCCGCAGCGTACACTGGCGGTGACAGCGGGCAAGCGGTGAAAATCCTGAATCGGTTTGTTGTGATTTCTAATACCGAATTTAGAAGGTAATGTCCACAAATTCTGTTATACCACCCCGTCACGTATCATTGTCTGTAGCGGATTCCCCTCCCTTCTTTTTTCCCCGTCCTTCCTCCTTCCTTCCTTCCCCCTTCCTTCCTTCTTCCTCTCCTCCTTCCTCCCTCCCCTCTTTCTTCCCCTTTTTCCTCCCTCAGTCCCTCCCTCTCCTCCCCCCTCCTTCCCCCTCCCCCTCTTCATTGTGAACGGTTGCCATGGGAATAAGAAGCAGGGACTTGAAGGACACAGAAAATTCGGCGGGCAGGGACAGCGCCTGGCACACGCCCTCCCGCCCTCCCTCGCTCACGCCTGACCCACCCGCGGACTTTTGTGCACTCGCCTGCTCCTTGGACGCTTATGAGTAAGAGGGACAGCACACCGAGTCACCTAATCCCCCAAGTCGTCCCCCCTCCCTCTTCCACTCGGGAATTATGAATCTGAAGCACTTCACCGACGAGGAGGTTCTCTTTCTAAAAACGACCCCACCCCCGGTATTTTCAATTTTCTGTGTATTCAGGGCACCAAAGCAGCAGACTGGGAATTTGGGGGCTGACTTAGCTCTGGCTTTAGCTGCGGGTCTCTTCATTTAAGATACTCCTTTCTCACCCCAGAAACTTAGGTTCTGAGATTTAAATTTCTGGGTGTAAAATTAGTACATTGTGTTTTCAAAATTATACACATTGTATTTACAGCATTATTAATAAATGAAAATATGCCTTTACCTGACTTGGAATATGTTGGCCATGTCCTCTGGCTTCTCATTTATTCACACTTAGGACAGATAGAGCCCGAGAAGGAAGTCATGCCGATAACTCTGGCAAAACATGAGAGAGGTTGGGAAGCCCGGTGTGGTGACGCATAGCTGATCCCAGCACTTGGGAGGCTGAGGCAGGAGGATTGTTGTGAGTTGGAGGCCAGCCTGGAACATATAATGGGTTCAAGGCCAGCCTGAACTACGTATCAAGACCCTGTCTCAAAAAAGCCAATAACTAAAATAAAATGGGGATGCATATGGACTGCTTTACTGGATAAAACCACTCCTCAATTCCTGTTACCAAGGAGGCGATGCAGAGCAGGTCTGTGTAAATGTGTGTTAAATCTTAATTTGATTAAAGGATGCCTGGGGATGATTATTTTTTCTGCATATGACCAAAAACAGTAGGGTAGCTGGTCCTTATGTAGGTTATAATTATTCTCCCTTTTTCCCTCCCAATATATTTTATTGGTAAAAAGGAATAACTAAGGTTTTGGTTAGCAGCTGGGCTTGGTGGTGTAAGCCTGTCATCCCAGCACTCAGGAGGCTGAAGTAAGGTTCAAGGCAGGCCAGCCTGGGGCCCATAGTGAGCTCAGGGCCAGCCTGAACTACATAAGAGATCTTGTCTCAAAAAAACCCCAAAAATAAGAAACCTAAAAAAGTTTTTGGTTAGTACTTTGTTCATAAAAATAATCTAGTAAACTGCTTGTGAAGGGTTTGCCTGTC